CGTTGCCTGCTGTGGCCGGGCCCCGGGCTCGAGCTGCCTCTGCCGGGAGACACGAGGCCCTGAGGGGAGCGGGGCTGGGAGGGGAGTCTGAGGGCCCTGCGGGGTCCCTGGGCCTTGGGGGGGATCCGGGGAGCTCTGGGGGGTCCCAACGCTCCGGGGACAGGAGGGGACTGAGCGGGCAGGGGGTCCGTGTGGCCCCTGTGCTTAGGGATGGGGGTTAGGCCTTGGGGACATCTACGGGGCTCTGGAGGCCCCTGGGGACAGGGAGTGAGGGGGTCCCTGTGCTGCAGAGCTGAGGGTAGGAGGCCTTGGGGGCGTCCAAGGGGTTTTGGGGGGGTCTCTAGGCCCTGCAAGGGGGGGTCTTGAGGACACCAGGCCCCGCATCCCCGTGCTGAGCCGCCCGGGGCGCCCGCAGGGAGGAAGGAGGACGCGTGCGGCCTGCTGGACCTGGCGGAGTACACCAAGAACCGGCCCTGGTGGCGCAAGGTCTTCGCGCCCAGCTCGGGGTCGAGCGCCGAGAAGTACAACGTGGCCACGCAGCTGGTGATCGGAGGCGTCACGGGATGGAGAGGCGCTGGGGCGCTGCCGCCGGCGGCACCGCGCGGCGTTTTGGGGAGCGCCTGGCAGAAACAGGGCGGTGGTTTAATGTGGAGCTGAAGATGGAGCGTATCTCCTGGGGGAGGAGGGTAAAGCAGCAGCAAGCTTGGATTTCGGAGGGCAAATGGGTCGTTCTTCCCAACTTCTGGTGTGACGTGGAGGTCTGAGGGAGTTCTGAGGCCTCTTGGAGAAGAGGTTTTTCCATCCCTGGGACGTGGCTGTGCTCTTGGGATCTGAGCACAGAGTGATCCCGCAGAGGTGGATTTCGGGATCGAGCCACCGGAGGAAGCGCTGGCTGCGGCCGCCTTGCAACTTCATTCCCACAGTAACACGGATTGACTCGAAAACTTAGTGTGTTGACGCTGCTCTGCTGGCACGTCCCTGCTTCTTGCCGTGCTTGCCCTCTCCCCATGCAGGAGCAACCATTTAAAATAACACACCCTGTTAACCTTCGAGTACAAATACACACTGGTCACTTCTCTCTGGTTTCGTCCAAGTGCATCTACTCAGGGCAAGGGAGAAGGTTCCTGTGTTGTTTTGCAATGTTGTTAAGGAAGCTGTGGTCGAAGCAAAGTCTGTCTGAGGTGACAGAATGTGTCACCCCTGCACTGCAAGATGGAGCAATGGGGTGACACTTCCTGGAGCTCTGGAGGCTGCAGGGATGTTCTGCAGGTTCAAGTGCATCTCGCTGCTGGAGGCAGCAGTAGCTCCCGGGCTCTGCTGTCTTATTACAGCCCCCAAATAAATGAAACTGGAAAGCGAGCAGACATTACAGGTTGCTCAGGCTTTGCCCTGTGGTCCATGGTCAGTGCTCTGCCAGGGAGCAGAGGCTGATGTGCTGCCTTGAACTCCTATTAGAGATGATGCCAGTTTAAAAAAGAAAAAAAAAAGTTAATTCCAGTGAAATCACATGTTTCTGGAGATGCTTCTTGGAGGCCCAAAAAGGTTTTTGAAGGGAAAAGAATCACATCTGTTAAATGCTGAGCTGTGGTGGTGAGAAGTAAAAGGTTATGGAGCGTTTGTGCATTTGGCTGGGCACAATTCTCCTTTGCTCTGAGCTCTTCTGGCTTCTACCGCTGGTCAGGCTGTCTCAGAGCCCTGCACAGTTAATGTCACACACTGTCCTGTGGCTGGAGCATGGGGGGTGTGCGCTTGGGGCCCCCTTCTCCTCACCGCATCCTGGTTTATTTGCAGGTGCACTGGATTCATCTTCCAGAAAGTCGGGAAGCTGGCGGCAACGGCCGTGGGAGGCGGCTTTTTCCTGCTCCAGGTACGTGCGAGCGCCGGAGCCTTCCTCTGTGTCTGAGGAGGAAGACTCAGCTAGTGATTATCGTAATTAACAACTGTGCAACTCAACAGGTGATCCTAATCGACAATAATCAACATGTCCCAGCAACTTCCCTGTTGTTTGGACACGTGGGATCAGATTCCTACTCTGCCAGGGATGTCTTGTGTTACCTGTGACACAGATTCCCATTCCCATGGGTAGTATAAAGCATATTAAAAACAGATGAAAGCAAGTTCCTCTTGTGGAGTTACATAAGGACATTTTAGAAACACATTAGATCACCTCAGTGGTGCTTCTAACTTGTATTAGCCAAAGATGAGTCAAATCTGTAAAGACTTGGAAGCTGTTTTGGCGTGGTGGCTCTGGGCTCCTGATGTGCTGAAGGGGCAAGGCCTTTGCTCGGATCTCTGAATAAATTCCTTGCCCTCTGTAGCAGCAGCAAAGCAGGAACAGTGTGCACAGGATTGCCAAGAGGCCCTTTTTGCTTAGGGACTGCTAACAAAAGCTGGACAAAGGCGTGTGGGGCTGTCACTGCAGGGGACCTGAGCACGGTGGCTGCCTTGGGAGCAGGAGCCAGGCTAGTCCAGGAGCAGTTCTGCACTGTTGCTGCGGACCTGGGGTCAGAGCTGGCTACTGGCCTCAGTTCTGTGCTGGGGAGATGGGAGTCCCTGGAGAAACAGCCCTCAACGTCCAGGGGCTGGTGTCTGGTCTGTGATGTGCGTCTCCAAGCTGCCTTCCACAGGAGCTGAGCTAGATCAGAGGAGGATCTTTATAATGTGCTGGGAAAGAGGATGGAAACAGAGATTTCTGTCTCCTCTGACTATTTTTTTTCTGATTTCTAAGAAAACTTGCTCTGGACTTGAGCATCTTGGACGCTGTAATGTAGCCTGTGCATCCTGCAGGATGCAGAGCAGGTCATAGGCTCCCGCTGCCATCCTGTTTGGTTTCCAGTGTTGTGTCTCATGTGTTTTGTTCTCCCTGCCCTTCTGGTTCCACTTGTGCTGACGGCCCAGAGCTCGCCCCGAGCGGGGAGAGTCTCCCCGTTGAATCACCCTGACCAAATGAAATGCTTAGGGAGGAACAGCCTATTAATAACAGCAGCAGGAGAGTGAGGGCCAGCGACACACGTGGTCGTTGCGAGGGGGAGGGATGGCAGCTTTGTGTTAGGAGAGGCTGAGAGGCAGCGACGTGCCCGTCTGCTCGAGGATTACCACGGCTGGCAGATGTTGCAGGGAGGTTAATGTAACGGGACGGTGCTTTTTCCAACCCTTAAGCTCGTGTGCTCAATCTCCTTCCTCCCAGCCTACTGAACTAGCCTGTGGGCTGGCTTGGGTTTGGGGTGACAAGGGGTTTAGCCGTAGGTTGGGCAGGATTTCACTCCAGGAATATTCTTTCTGTCCCTCCGAACCGTAGGTCGCGAACCACACGGGATACATCAAGGTGGACTGGAAGCTGGTAGAACGGGACGTGAACAAAGCCAAGCAGCAGCTGAAATTTCACGGCAGTGGTAACAAAATGTCTCCAGAAGTGAAAAGCAAAGTGGATGAGGTGAGACAGCTCTCCCAGGGTGTGTGCGGGCACCCAGCTGGATGAAACAGGATCAACTTGGGGGTTTTAGGGATCTTCCCCCACTAGGGGCTTGCATAACAACGGGAGAGATGGCAAAGCCACCCAGGTCAATTTGAGAGAGCCAAGGTGGCTTCTAGGCACGATGCCAGCTCCCCATGTAGCGAATTCCTTGGTGCTGGAAGAAAATTCCCTGGCATTGTGGGGAGCTCAAGAGGAATCTCTTCAGTGTGACGAGCACAGCTGAGCACATCTGGAGGCCGCGTGGTCTGTGCGCCCCGGGCTCTGCTGTGTCCCTGTGTGGCACACACGTTCGTTTCACTCTGCCACGAGGGCAGGACAAAATGTCCTGTGGCTGCAGCCGAGCCCGGGTGTGTGATGCAGGCCTGGATACAGCCTGTGGCTGCTCTGGGATGCTCGTTGTGCAGGATCCATATGTGGGAATGGGAGCACAGAGGTCATTAGGGAGGCTCCTTTCCTATTGCTGAGCAGTGGCCGCTCTCCCAGCTCAGGGATGAGCCCGAGAGGTTCCTTATTGTGGGGAGGGCAGTTGAGTGACCGGCTGTTGCTGAACCCTTTTGGCTCTGCTCTCTCCTCTTAGGTGATCACGTTCCTGAAGAAGAATGTTATCCTGACTGGAGGCTTTGCTGGAGGATTTCTGCTTGGAATGGCGTCGTAGGAACTGCACTCGGCCCTCGTTTCTTGCCCGGCCTCTATGTCCTCTCCTTCGTGTTCCCTCTCACTTAGAAATCAGTGGCTGTTGCCAGCAGGCTCAATCGCTTCTGCTCCCAGGTTCCAACCTGTACTTTTTACAATGCTGCTCTGATTTCCAGCTTACTCCTCTGGGCTGTTTGGGTGCTGGGGTTGGTCTGAAGCTCAAGACCCCCAGGATATCAGTTTGATTCCTGTCCACACCCAATATGCCCAGATTTTGGTAAGTTGCAGCCTGATAGATATATAGGGGCAGAGAACTCTCTAAACAAGCTTCTTCACGGGTGCCCAGGAGCGTTACATTTGTTTGTCTGCCAGTATGTATGTACAACAGCTATGGGTTGTTCACTGCTGCTTGGCTTTCTCTTCCGTGGTACCCGTAAAGCCTGAGCTTCCCTCTGCACTGGGTGCTCTGTGAAATCCACATCTGCCCGACTGGCCTCAGGTGGAGGCAGAAGCATCAGGGGGCAGTTTGGGCTCTGTGCCGGAATGGGCTTCTGGGCTGGTGGTTAGGGAGCCGGTTCCAGCTCTGCGTGAGCCTGGGGCGTTCTCCTGCGCCCCCGTGCCCTTGCACTACACGTAGTGGCCATTTGGGCTTCTCCTCTGCTGTTATTTATAACCTTTACTGGAAGTGCGGCGCTGGCACTGCTGATGGAAACTCAGCCCCGCGTGTGGCTCTCCAGGCCCTCTCCTTGTGTTATCTGAAAGTCACGGAGCTCCCGCGCTGCAGGGGACAGTCGGCTTCGTGCTCGGTGGCTGCCCAGCCCCTGCGCTGTCCGCGGGGCCGCTCGGGCAGCGCCTGGTTCAGCTCTTGCTGTAAATCATTACCCTGGCACTAGGTCTAGTGTGGCCGTCCCAGTGTCGAGCTGGTGGTGCCCGTAAGGATGTGACTGTGTGGGACAGGATGATAGATAGGAGATGCATCCTGCTTTAAGGTACGTTGTGTTGGTCCAGGATCCCTGTTGCCAGCTTAGTTGGAATGGGGGAAAAGATACGAAATCTGGCTCAATCTGCTTTGCATGCGGCCTTATCTGCATCTGCAGAGTACAAATCCCATCTCCCTGGTCTCTGCAAACTCAATTGTTTAATCTCTTCAGCATCTGCATCCTGGGGGCTGCTGTTGTCAGAATGGTCGGGCTGCCTTTCTGTTGTGTCCCTTGGAAATGACAAGTTCCTTTGGATGTGTTCAGCAGTAACTGCCACCTCTATCCCTTCCCTAACCTGAGACTGGTTACAGAGATGCTGCTTGGAGCAGCTAAGGCAGCTAAACTTCTGCTTCCCTTCCTGCCTGCTGAGGAAAACAGAGTTCTTAGGCCTAAATGTCCAAGGTAGGAAAATCAAGGAGTATTCCTGTGGCAGGAGCAACTTCTAGCTTTCTGCTTCTGAAGGATGTTCCTTCTCTCTTCGAGCCTATTGGCTTTTCCCCCTTTCCACAGAAAGAGCTATCCACCTGCTTCCCTAACTCTGGTATCTGCAGCCCTTTCCCTGCAGAGAACAAGGCAGTCAAGATGCAGAGGCTGTTGGTTTGGGCCCAGCGCAGCTGTGTGCAGAGCAGAACTCTAACCTACAAGAGAAAAGGAAAAAAATACAAAAAAAAAAAAATTCCCTTAGAGCTGTTCTGCATTGCTGGTGCTGGGTTGACGTTGCCTCCTCCGTAGTCCAGGGGTTTTGCAGCAGGGTGGCAATGCCCTCCAGCAGGTTCCATGGATTTGCTCTTGCTGAGAACAGGTTTTGCTGCTGGAATTTGACCCATCCGACTTCAGGAAGGGGCTGGAGGATGGTGAAGCAGAAGTGGGTGTCTTTGCTCCTGTCCTGCCACACGTGTGAGCAGGCAGGCTCGCATGCTTTTAGTTATGGTTGTCTTAAAGGTCATCAAGGGCTGGAGGAATTTTGTGAGGCAGCAGATAGGTCCTTGGTAAATCACTGCTTGGGAATGGAGTGTCAAAAGACTGCTTGTTTGGTTGGATTTTTTTTTTGAGGGGGGTGGCAGGAAATGCAGCGTAATGTGGGAGAATTAATATATATGTATTGCAGGATCTCCCTTGTTCTTGTAGGGGAAAATAATGTTACTTGATCTCTGCCTGGCGTGTTACCTAACACAGTTTTCAGCTTAGGCCCTTTTGAAAGACAAAGCTCAAAGTAAATAATTAACAGACCTTAGGGCTCAAATCCATGTTATTTCTGCTCCAGCCTAGGGAAGGGTGTCTGGGTCCTGTTCCTCAGGTCTGGAATTGCTGCTATGGAGAGAAAATGCCCAGACGTGGCCCTAGTCAGGCTAAAATGTCTTGTTTCCTGCTGGAGGGGGGAACAAGTGGTTGAGACAAATTCATCGTGAGTTTGGGGCAAACACAAGCTGGGAGTGGGCAAGGATATCAAAATCCAGCCAATCTTCCTGCTCTTCCAGCGCTGGCCTCGTGGCCGGCACCGTCCGAGCGCTGTGCGGCTGCGCTGGCGGTTTCACGCAGCATGAACAGTCTCCACGGGATGCACTTGTGTTGCTGCGGGTGCCAAAACGAACGTCCTGGCCCCTGTCACACGTGCGTGCGCACACACAAACCTGGACTGGTTTCAGCAGTTTCTGGCGCCCATTCCAGTATGGGAAGGTTTAAAACACACTAGGCTTGTAAAGTCTTTTTATATATGGTATGTAAATGCTTGTTGAAGTGATATTTTATTAAACAGTTTTGCTCTAGTTGCTTCCCCGTGTGCGGTTTCTTCGCGTCTCAGGAGCCGGCCCCTCCTCACCCCGCCAGAACAGGGCAGGATCCCTCATCCTGCGGGTGGGATGAGCTGCCCGCGTCCCTCTCCATGATCCTGGCACCCCTCGGAGCTCCCTGCACCCGCTGGGCAGGGGGATGAGGCCTCTCCTTCCTCGCGGGTGCCAGAGCAGCCCAAGGAGCCGCTTTGATCGCGTCTCACGACTGTCTGCAGGAAACACGAGCTGCTCATCGGGTGTCTGAGCCGCCTCATTGCCTTGTTGCTGTTTCCCCTGATCTTCAAGAATATTAAAAACCCTGTTTTCTGTTTTTCCCTGTGCAGAAAGGGAAGGCTAGCTCTGAATGAATTCTCCTCCCGAGCCCTGGATATAAAATTAGCAGGCAGCTTCTATTTAAACGCGCTGTTGTCACACGCAGCTCCGGACGGCGGCCAAGCTGCCTGGCGCTGTGCAGCTGCGTTGCATTCTCGACAAGCAACCAACCCCAGACTGCAATTTGTTCCAGTCATTTATTTGTATCATGGTATTTCAGAGCAGTGAATACAGATGGTTTTGCTCTTCTAGGCTTCAATACACTCATCTATTGTGCCTAGACTACAGTGGTCTGTTTATAGAAGCTGTATTTAATAAATCGTACTTGATCACAGCACAAAAGTCCTTTACGGCTAGATCTAATGACAGAGTTAGGAGCCTAGTGGGTTCGAAGTCTGTTGTGGAGGTGTCTGGGCCCTGTAATGGACTTGGCACCCACTGAGGTGCCTGGACTCCTGCTACAGTGGACGGAGAGACTTGGGCAGCTCTGAAGGGTGATGCAGGAACCTGTCTACCAAGCTCTGCCTACAGGTCACAGGAAATTCTGCTGCACGGCGGGGAGTGTCTGAAAAGCCCCCTCGCCTGGGGCCCAGACACGGAGTGCCTGCGAGTGGGAGTCTGGAGCGCTCTGGAAAGCGAGTGCCGGTACCTTGTTCTGTGAGGGCACCTAAACCCGTTCTTGGATCTAGCCCAGGGCTCTGGGTACCAGAGCATTGAATTATGCTGGGCTCACAGCATATTGCTTAAAGGTGCTCAGTTACACGTAACAAATTTATAAATCTGTTTTTATATCAACAGTCAGATTTTTCCAAATGGATATTGCTCTTTTAAAAATCCTATTCCTGTAGCAATCCCTGAAATAATGTTCCTGTAACATCTTTATTATCATGCAAATAGCAGCGTCTAGGCAATCCCAATATAAAGTAATCGGAACTCTATCCAGTGGGAAGGAGAGGCACTTAGGCAAAGTGACTTGTAGTCACTCAGGATCTGTGTCAGAACTAGGGACAAACCCCAGATCTGATTCCCATTCTTGAGCTTGAACCAGTGGACAGCTGAATGTTGTCTGGAACTACTGCAGGATGGCAGCGTTCCCTTTGCTATGTCAAGATGATCATTTCATGTGTCACATTCCAACTCACTCTTTTAAGCGTATTTCCTGTACCTCCCACTCCAGAAGTCAGAAAGAACCTGGTTCCAGCCCTGCACGTTGACATTGAGGACGGATTAGAGGAGGGTAAGCGTTCTAAAAACACCACGTTGACTTTTCACAGACACAGGTGCAATGCTAAGAGAAGGTAGATAATGTTTTGGTAGAGCAAATAAAGTCCGTTAACCAGGCCAGCTGTTGGTTCTGCATTTTTACTTTTTGGTGCACGGGATGGTGTGTTCTAGGAGCGATCTGGCTTTCCTGGAAGTCTACAGAAGGACCGAAAACCAAAAGCAAATAGGAGCCCTGCAGGTGAGTCCGTGCCCTGGCACCTGCCGGAGCTGCCGTGTGTTACTGCCGTGGGGGGGGAATTCCTTCTGAAGCGGCCTTAGGCTTTTCTCTCTCCCTCTCTTCTTTCTCAAACCCCGAGCAGCAGATGGACCTGCCCCTGGGGTAGCGGGCACAGCACCTCCGCATCTCCTGCAGCACCGCTGCGCACTTGGACTCCACGTAGTTGTTGGCTGGAAAATCAGAAAAAGGAGAGTGAGGCCGAGCCGGTGCTGCTGAGCTCGCCCGAGGGGACACAGCGAGCCCGGCCCTGCCCCGGGCATCGTTTCCCTGCCTGGCAAAAAACCCCTCTTTAGGTCACTTGTCTAAAGCTGCTCCGAGCCGGCCTCGCTCTGTTGCTACATCAAGAAGGGAGCTGCCCTTGTTCCTGTCCTCGCTCCCTGCTCTCCTTGTCCTTTTAAGCTGAATCCCGTGATCCCGTGTGCCACGTTAGTGCCAGGGCTACAACGGACACCAGAGCACCCGAAGAGGCCGTGGTGCCAGCCCAGCCGTGCGGGGCTTGCGGGAGGAAGGAGGGGAGCAGCTGAAATCACCGCTCTGGCACCCTGTAACCTGCACTGGGGAGCAGGGCTGCAGCTCTGCAGCACGATCCATGTTCCTGTCCGCGGCATGGCAGGCGAGCGGGAAGCTCATCCAGGTGCTGAACGGGAGCTGCACGGCCACCTTCCCGTGAGAATGCTCCAAATTTCAAGCGCAAGAGCAAAGCAGACACTATTTCCTCAGACTCTGGGGGCATGGAGAGCGATTTGCTTGAGCCCTTGCCTCAAGCAGATCACAGCTGCCAAAATTAAAAGAATCCTGGGAAAGACAGACAGCTCCCAGAACGTGCCTGGGGCTTTTCCCTCGTTTCTTCCACCGCGGCATCCTCCCAGGCTCTTCCCCGGATGCAGCCGGCGGCGGCAGAACCGGCTCTCGCCTTCCCCCGCGGAGCCTCCCCCCACGTCACGTTGTCACCAACCCACGCGCGGGCTGCGCGGAAGCGCAAAGGGGACACGAATTTCTGCAGAAACGGCCTCTGGAGAACGCGCTTCCAACCTGCCTTCTCAAAATCCCTTTTCCAAGAAGCAACAAATTTTTGCAATTATTTTTCCTCTGTAACAAGGCAACTCTTCCCAACTCAGGCCACTGCAAGCCCTCTCCCAAACATCAGCATCACATAATCTCCCTCTCCCTTATAAATGCTCAGCTAAGCAAACACGAACGAGCTGATAATGTTCTCCAGAAGACACCAAACTCTATCAGCTCAGCTCACACAAACCTAATCCTCAAACTGACACACAGCCAAGTCTGACCTGCCCCTAAGACACCCCTAGAGCCGCCGTCTTCCCATAAAAATCCACTCAACACCACCCTATCCATGCTGTATCCATGTTATAATGTTTAACTCTACCTACCTACAGCTTAGTCCCAACACCCAGGCACTGACCAGAGCATGGAGAAGACTGTTTGAAACAACACATCGCTGTTAGGAACGCTTTTGTGTTGTGCTAAGGGTGTCTTGTTATTCCAAAACACAGGAAAAGCTGTTAAATTAAGCTACTGTTTGCTTGGCAAGCAGGTCCCGCTAACGGCCTTGCTTGAGGTGAAAGAACAGGGTTAATTTAAAAGAAAAAAGCTCCATCAAAGATCAAGACAATGAAAAGACAAAATGATGCTTGGTACCTTGCAAGCATTTCTGTATTTCACAGGCTTGTTTCTGGCAGGGATCCTTCTGGGGCATGGTCAGAGAACTAAAATGATAGGAAAATGTTACTGTAGAAACAATGGGCTTTTTCTTTCTTTTTTTTCCTTCCTTTTTTTTTCTTTCTGGGGGAGGGCAAGACATTCCCTTAAAACCAAGACTTCTACGGAGCTCCCAACTTCCCTGTCTAGCACAGGATCTTGGGCCACCTACTGCAGCTCGCACACGATGCCAACGTGCACAGACAGCAGCTTGGCAGGTGCCTCCGTTCTGAAACAGCTCTGCGTCTGGCTAGAGGGTGGGAACGTGGAGATACAGGGGAGTTCCAAGGCCTTTTTGCTTTTTTTAACCTTTTTCCCTGGTCCAAATGTGTGCTTTTGCACTTGGAAACACAGAATTCCCTCCTCCGAACAGACAGTTCAATGAACACAGATGGTTCTATAAATACAGTTCTATATCTTCAAACCTTATACTGAAACAAGTATTTGTGTAAAGGCCTTCCCTGCGAGCTCTATATAACCAGCGTTTGGTGTCTGTCTTACAACTGCACCTGGAGGAGCAATTTAAAGAACAGTTGTATAAGTCCTGTTAAAATTATGACGGTTTGGACTTTTTTTCCTGCTTTGTTTTGGTTTTAGAAAAACCTCTTGAAATCTCCCCAAAGAAACAGATTGGAGCGGAGCTGCATCCCACTCGAATCACTGCAGGTCCTCAGGAGGACCTTCTGCAGCTGTGACACCTGTGACCTCTCACGAGAGCCAAAGACGAGCAAAAGCTGCTGGGATCAGCGGTTGGATGGGAGACCTCAATGGAAAGTGCTGCTGCTCCAGAAAGGGGTGCTGGGCCCCGACACCCTCCTCAGCTCCTGCCCCACGCACGGGAGCTGCTGCCCTTCCAGCCTCCGTCTGGGACCTGCCCTGTCCCACAGCCCTTCTCCATAGAGCTAAGGACTCATCTCCAGCATCCTGGCCAAAGTCCGCCTGGGGTGATGAGATTCTGCCTACCTAGAACTCCCCCTGATGCTTCCCTTGGACACGATACTCTTCTTCACTGCCTGTTCTAAACTCTCGTGTGATGGTGCTGTGTGTTGTTAAACTGCTTCCACCTCAGAGGTGGCTGCATTTCAGTGGAGAGAGAATCATAGATTGTACAAAACATACAAGGACCTCTTCCTAGAGCCACTGCTCCTGCAAGACAAAAAGTCACATTAAAGAATGACCAGGAATAAACAGAGCACAGTACAAAAGCAGGGTAACGGCCACACGTACCAGATTAATCACCAGGCACGAGTTTAAGCAGCAGTTCTTCAACACCACCGAGCTGTAAGCGACAAGGAAAAGTTCAATACGTCTACAGTTACCCTGGCTGAGCTAACGGACTTCAGTAAAATAACAGTCCTTTGCCGTCCCTCAGGGAGCTCAAACGACTTCACAAACAGGAATGACTATGGTCTAACGTCGCCACCATCCTTACCATGAGATGGTGCTCTATCTCCCAAACGCGAGAGTTACTATCCCTGTACTGCTCACCCTGGGACAGCTGCCACATATGAGGCAGCCGGGATGGGGGGAGCTGGCTGGGTCGCAGCGCCTCACCCAGGGGCACCTGAACTCTTTGGATCCGGGCCCTCAGCATACCTTCCTCCTGGGGGAGAGCAACAGAGAGAGCACGCGGTTAGCGGCGGCGCAGCGGGGGCACCCGCGTGGCCTCGCCATGCCCTCCGCTCCCGGCAGGCGCCGGGCATCAGCGCGCGCGGCGGCTCCGGGGACATCCGCCGGGAAAGCTCGCGGCTCCGGAAGGCACCTTGGGGGCGGCAGTGACGGGATGAGGTGCTTTTTTTTGCTGGAACGTCCCTAACAGTCAGATCTGGGGGGCTAAGGGGGTGCCGGAGGGAATCTCATGACAGGGCGCACGCTGGGACGCGCGTGCTGGGTTATGGCATCTGTAAGGCATTTTGGGACACAAGGTGCTCCAGGTGCGTGGTTAAACCCTGGGAATATTGGCTTTGCTTACTCCACTGCTAGTTCTGGTAACAGTCTTGGCGTAAAACTCGGAGGAGGGAAGGAGAAAAAAACGTGATTTAAGCGAGACTTCCGTGGCTAGTGATGGTCTAAATCGCAAAAACAAAACTTGTGACAACGGGTGAAATGAGCCTAGCAGGAACGAAGGTCACTCTGGAGACAAAGCACAAGACTCCACACGCACGGGCTGCTCATGCTTGGAGCCTGCAGAGCCGTCATCGTGGAGGGTCCTTCATCTCCCCTCTGCTAAGAGGATGGCAGAATCGTCCATTCCCGCACGAGCTTCTTGGGAACAGCTCTCGTTCCTCTGCGGAGTTCAGATCTTAGCTGCTTACCATGAGCCACTGATAGCAGCAGGGGCCAAGAGATCTTAAACATTGAGACACTTCTTCCTACTAGAATTTTTGCCTACCAGCACATTTAGCTGTTTACTGGTTAGACCAAGCTGAGCCATCAGCAAGTGAAGGTCAGGGGAGAGGATTCTCTCTGAACCCTAGAAGAGGTAATCAAAACGGGACTGACAGTCTTCATTCTTTATCTGGGTTTAAAGTAGAGTGGAATTAAGCTGTAACGTGTATAGCATCTTCCTGCCATGAAGCAGCTGGGACTCTCCTATCCCAGGGAAACACAGTGATCTTCTCCTGAAAACTTGTGAAGTTAAGGCAGATTTCAGACAGAAGAAAGAAAATCTGGGTACAAAATAAAGCAGGGAAGGTCAGGGAGAAAAACACTGTTAAACATCAGGGATACATACATAACAGGAAACACACTTCCATGTAGCCTTCTATGTCGTATATCAGATTTTCTCTACTTTTTTTCCAATCAAAAGATCACTCAGTTTTTGAAAACTAAACACCAACAACGGCTCAGCCTGAGCAGCACAGTCACAGTATTTTAATTTATAAACCCAGCAAATTTTGAGCGTTCTTTTATTACTTCTTTTTCTCCCATTCTGTTTGTTCCCTTGCTTGATGTAGGGAATGTGTATGTGCGTTATACGAAAGAAGAACTGTTCTGAAGACATCCTGTGATCCCCTATGAACTGCAACGCTGCAGAGCGCCGGACTGGGAAACGCTGCCACGGCCCTCCCAGCACTTGGATCACTGGCATTAAAGGAATGCAACAACACAGGGACTAGCCCAGAGGGCCTTCAGGAGGGAGTTGTGAAGCTTAAAGCGACATTTGGACACTTGTCTAAGTCCCATTCGTTCTAGTGTATCCCAAGTTGCTTCCTAAATTTAAGCCCATGTGCGACCATTTTGCCCAGCAGTGAAATGCAGCACAAGCCACTGCTCACTTGCAGCCAGCAGAATGTAATCACCCAGCTTGGAATTTGGCCAGGATACTCTCCTACTCGGTGGCAAAATGCCAAAAGCCCCCTCGTGACCAAAAACGCCCCAGAACTTGCTTGCCTACCCTCTTTGAAGCCAGAATTGCCATGGCTCAGCATCCCCAGGACCAGGAGGCACTGTCAGCCTAATGCTGACTTTGGTACTTGGAAAACTACCACTCAGTGAGCAAATTCCACTACTTCCTATAGCAACTAACTTTCCGGGAAGGTCTCCTATCCAAGTGCTAACCTTGCTCAGCCTTGCTGAGATTGGACGATTAAACCATAACACAGATATTTGAATTTATTGCGTGTGATCATGGTAGAAATGCACGGTAGTGGTCTGACAGCAAAGGTCTCACGCAGAGGACACTGTGCAGAATGGGCAGCAGTTGTTAACATGTGTTTTTGCTCTTTGTCCAACTAATTTGTCCCAAACTTTCTCCAAACTCCCCAGCCCGGGGTTCATTTGCCAAAGTTCAAAGGCCCAGTCTGGCCTCTCTTTCCTGCAGTCTCTGAGACTACCACAAAAATATCCAGTTAGTGCCGTGAATAAAAGCTCGAGGTCAGGCAAAACCGTCCATTGGGTTTGAAGGGAGACAGGTTTGTCTTTAGCACTCAGAACATACAAGCAGGGAGGATTTCAAAAAGCAGGCGCTTAGACATTTGCAACTAAAGCCTTGAAAAGGGCAAGACATATGCAATGCCCATTTCTGCTGACTTTATAAGGAAATCAAACAAGAGCCTGGAGGAAGAAATGGTTGAAAGGAAAAGTCAGCTTACTTATATTTAAAGCAAACAGTAAAAAGAGCGCCTTCTATTAAGTCTGTGCCACAGTCTATACCAAAAGATCCAAGCCAACAAAAACCACTCCAGCTTAAATTTGCAGGATTGCAGTGTCATCCTGTGACACTGGTTTCAATGCTCTCATCAATACAACTGCAGAAGATGCAGCTGTTTAGGGTCCTGCTGGGGGGATTCAAAGCTCAGGCCCCACTGACAGCAACGAGACGTGGAGTTTTTGTGTCTATCTCAGCACCAGAACTCAGATGTTTATCTCTGTTCTGGGGCACGGGGGGTTTCTGAGCCATAAGGTATGTGAGAAGCATGAGGATGGCCGGGAAGAGGACTGCGCCTTGTAAGGAAAACAATTGATTTGCTTTTAAAGCAATGGACATTACATGAATATACCCCACCAAAACGACGAGGGGAGGTGCTCCAGCTGCAACCTGGGCCCTTCCCAGAGCTGCAGCCCGGCCCGCTGGCCAAAAACTCCTGTTATTAAGGGTTATTTTAAACAGGGACCAGCTGGGATTGTTAGAAGAGTTGAGCTGCCAGTTAGGTACCGAAAAAAGGCGGTGCTGAAAGGGGGCACAGCACTGTGCTAACCCGGCTGCGAGGCTTCTGTGCCAAAGCTGGCCTGGGGTGGAGCGAGGGGGCTGCTGCCCGCGCGCAGCAAACGGGGCGCTCGGCGTTCCC